ATTTAGCTCTGTGTGACTTCTTCCTCTTCCCAAAGATGAAAATTCAGCTAAAGGGAAGGAGATTTGAGACGATAGGAGAGATTCAGGCAGAATCGCAGATGGTGCTTGACAGGCTGACCAAGAAAGATTTCCAGGGATGCTTCCAGGCTTGGCAGCGGCGCTGGGATCGTTGTGTTCACTCCCAGGGGAACTACTTCGAGGGTGATGGATGAATTTAATACCTGAGATAAGTGTACGGGTTTTTATACGCGCAGTCTGGAAACTTTCCGATCGCACCTCGTACATTGCGTGAGAACTACGGAGTCTCTTGGGAGCACGCGGATGTGAGAAAGCTGATAACCGCTTCCTTGGACTAGCTGCAAACATGTGGAACACGTTCTGACACATTGGCACAGCTCCCCCACAGAAACATAAAGCAAAATGCAGTGTGACGGAAGGACGGGCAGCGTTGCTGTATTGTTTTTGAGACAAGCTCAGAACAATTGCACAGACCCAGTGAATTTTTTTTAATCGAATATCACTTTAATAAAATTAATTTGTGTTATTCCACGTGTAAGTGAAGTTTGATGACCACAGTTTCCATAAAACATAAATTATTCAAATAAACAAGTACCCCGAAGATTGCAGTTCTAACCTAACCTCAAAGTCCAGAAAGAGTCTCTGTGATAAACCGGAAAGTATCTGTGATTTCCTGGCTTCCGGCAGGAACTGCATGATTTATTACCAAGTAATTCAAGATTTTCCCACGGGATTGACATCATCGGCTGTACCTGTACACGCACGCACTCTGTGTACCATTTAAATAGATTGAAGTTCACTCAAGTTATTCGTAGAGGAACTTTCTGAATGCACCCAGTTGTCAATTTTTTTTCTTTCTTGTGTTGGCAGCTAGCGCCCGCACTTTGCGGGTCCTGCTCAGCTTTGCTGTTGGGTGTTTGCTCGGAGACGTGTTTCTGCACCTATTACCAGAAGTTTGGATGGAACAGGAGGACACTGTTGGTAAGTCAGTACTGGACTTCGAGAAGAAATATTATATTTCTTAATTGTGTGTAACTCATACTAAAGCAGCCATTTTCTGTCATTTCTCTTTCCATATACGTTGAAAAGCCGAATACCTCACATGAATCCAGAGTTTAAGAACCAGTCCCAAAAGGTCTAACCTCAAAAATTTAAAGAAAAATGCAGAAACTTATATCTGAACTCAAATGAGGGATTTATTCTGAATTAAAATGCCAATTATCACAGTGAACCATCACGTCTGTATGGATTGCCTGATGCTGTATAACCAAGCCACTGATTGCGACACAAATCATTAGCAATTTTTTTTTAAAGAATACGTATATAAACGTCGAATGAGAAGATGGTAAGTGGCGTTAATTTAAGGTTATGCCCAGACAGACTAAGGAATAGGAGTCAGGTATTGCGACCGAGATTTGAACCGAGGACCTACCGAATACGAAACGGGAGTGATAAACCACACGACAGCGACGTTTATGAATCTCTCGGTGGACATATCTGGTTCGTATGGCCACCGATAGATGGCACCAAGAATGACCTTGAGCATCCATTCTGTTGGTGTAACCGATTGTGGAAGGTAAGAGATACAAATTTGAAAAAGGCTCTTTTGACATTTTTATCCCAAATTTCATTAAGAGCCAATGAGCCATTTTCAAATTATTATGTGGCAGACCTTGTGTGCTCTGTAAAATGGATAGTTTTATTATTTATTTTATTGTTCTCTCCTTCAGAGATACTGAGTTACCTGACACAGCAATATTCAGAGGTCTTTGGTGCCTCTGAAACGTTAGTAAACTTACTATATTGCAACCCAGAAGACGGCCATATTTGGACTCACCACCGTGTAAACCTCGAATCTTACCGATCTTAACTATCCACAAAAATATTATAAAATTTCTGTACTCCAGTCTTGTTTCTGGAGAATGAGTTAAAAAACAAAATAGTACACCTACGCGTGGCAACCCTGACACAACTAGCAGAAAGAAAGATGGTGGATGTGTCTATGAATGCAGACCTACTTAGAACGCGTGTGGAAATCCTTTGTATTCCGGGGCGGATTACGATTTCCAGTCTCGTTACAAGGATTGTGGCCTTTTCCTGTCGCTAGATGCTGTATGTACAGACGTTATCACTCTTGTTTGCATTACCAATATACTTACTCAGAATTTATTACAGCCTTCGTTATCTTAATAGAAGTGACCATATTGACTTCAAAATATGTGTTCAAGGACATACGAAGCACATGACTTTCATATTGCAGCTTGCTGTCCTAATTCGAGCATCCACCAATAACAAAATATATGTAAACAATTTAATTATGCTACTAATGAGCTGTCTACTACAGTATCACTGAAATTGAAATGTGATTTATTTTATAAAATTACTATATATTCAAGTGAGGAATATTTTCAATGTGTAATTGGCAACACTGCTGAGGTGTGGTCATACTGTAGCTCAAGGTCGGACAGTGCCATCTTGTGAGCGCGGTTTGGTAATACATTTGTGCCAAGTGGGTGTGGTGTAAAAAGTGGATGCTACACCAGAGATTCACTATTAACCACACTAACAGCATGTCAACATCTGACCTTGAGCTACATCAGCAGTGTTGCCATCATACAAGTAAATATTGTAATTTTTCCCTTTTTAATCTTCTTCATAATCGTAACAAAACTGTAATTTTAAAAAATATCATCTCATTTTCCCCACACTTATCACGTACTTTAGATGCTGGGCTCAGTAGGAACGCAAGGTATGAGAGCATAAATTGACTTAAATCTGATTGAATCAACACATTATTGCAAACCGTTAACTTGTTTAGCGTTTGTTGAAGAACCTCTGCGTCCAGACCGGTTCTGGGGCCCACCCAGCCTCCTATCCGATGGGTACCGGGGTCCTTTCCCGGGGGTAAAACACGGCTGGGGCTTGATGCTGACTCACCCCTTTCTAGTTCCAATGTTAAGAATGAGTAGGAGCTATAATTCCTCTCCCCTCAAGTGCCTACATGGACAGTTTTTGTTGAAGAATGTATGCTGGCTGGCACTGTATTGTTTCAGAATTGAAGAGCCATTGTTTGCATCACCAAAGGATCCCAAATTTATTTTCTGAATGTAAAATTATTACTAAGATGTTAAAAATTTCATATTTGGAGCAGTATTATCTATTGAAAAGCTGTCAGCTTCTATAATAATTTGTTTTTAGCCCTATGGAAAGTAAGTAAGTGTTTGTTCCCTTTCAGAACATCTGTACGTATTTTTATTAATAGGATTCGTTTATAAGATTCGTAATTTGCGTGTTTCAGAGCACGTGATTGGACACCCGGCTCTGAACAAAGGACTCTGGGTACTCGCTGGCTTGCTCATATTCATCGTACTAGAGAAAGTATTCACCTCTATTCCAGGAAAGATCGACGTCCAAAAGACAGCCTCTGACGTGAATGTTAAACAGGAAAATGTATATGTTCTTAATAACAACATTAAAGAACTTGTTAATAGGCATGAAAATGACCACCACACAAATCTAAAGAGATCAAACGCACACGAACAGAAGGCACTGCTCAATCCAATCAAGTCTACAACTATAAAGGTAAACAGTTTTAGTATCAGGTTATGAAAAATACTGCAGGATTTTCATTATTATGCTTTTCAGCGGAAATGGCGGCTGGAGCGTGTACCAATCACGTGTAATGTGCCTTAGTATGAAGTAAAGAAGTGAGATGTAGGAGCGAGAAGGTGAGGAGGAAACAACATACAGTGGTGCAAGATATAGCATTGGTTTCCAGTGGTTATAACACTACTCAAAATACACGTAAGAAGTGGCAACAGCGCAGTGCGGCTACCGATGGTTCTACCACGGGGTTTCCGAACAGACGGAGGCCTATGATACTTATCAGCAGACCTCCTTTGCGAAGATTAATCACTCACAAAGAGCAGACCTTGGCTCAGCTGCCAATTCCGCTGAAAAATACTATAGAGTTATATACATTTATTGATGGGTTATTTTTTTATTGTATGACACAAGTATTGAGGTTAATTTGGTGTTGAATGATATACAGCATGATGGATGTGGATGAATCGGACCATATATGGGCATTTTTCTGGTGGTGATCGTAATTTTGCCTGGTGTGATTGAGGACTACTGCAAAAAGCTTAGAATAATCAGTCAGTGGCTGAGATTTGAAATACGTATGTAACTACAAGTTATGAGTCGTACAAGTGAGAATTGCCAGTTTTGAGTTTAGATAATGTGAAGCGTTATTAAGTTATTTTTAATGATCTCCATGGAAATATGAAGTGCCATATAATTACCATTTTTGTTGGAGTTTTAAAACCATTTTGGAAACATTTAAATACACAGCTTCCATAGCAGCATTTTAATTCCCATATACGGTAATAAATTGATAGGAATAACATGTATAAATAACTATGAGAACAGCTTAGAATTTTGACACTGGTTTATTCAGATGTGTTATGTTCTGCCAGCAGAGAGTAAGTAACTACAATTTATTGAATATATTGACTGTGTATTGTGAGCTGTGTCCACAGAAATTATAATTTTTTGGTTTGGAGAGCGACAGAATGTAGTTCCTGCTGTATTATGATGGCGCATGCGGACAGTAGGTTATTGATGTATGTGGGCTGATGATTTGTAGTTTTCGTGACTATAAATCATGTCTTTCTCCACAGGTTTTGGCTTTGACTGTGTATGATGTGAATAAAATAAATTCAAGGCTAATTAAAGAGAAGATTCCACTAATAGGCCTGGTGATGGTTCTCGTTGTTTACTGATGAGTATGTTGTCTGGAAATGAAGGTTCTTGAGTTTTGAGTTTCGCTGGTAAATTAGGTTAACGTTCTGTCTAGATAATGACATTTATTTTTCTCCTTCGCAATTTATTATTGGTGATAATTGTTATCAGACTAGGTCATCCCAGTCTGGTGGAAGTTTACCAACATTACAGAGGTCATTCTACCTCCATCATCAGGGCGATGATGGAGCAGCGAGGACCTCTGAAATGTTGGGAGACTTATACAAGATTGCACTGCGCAACAATCCAGAAGGCAGCCATTTTCAGTCTTGTGTTATGCCTACTAACCTGACTTGATCCCAGCCATTGCCGGCATGTAGTAGAGGCAACTTGCAAAAAATATTTTTATCAAATACGATGTGCTATCAAAATTTTTCCTTACTGTAGTAAACAAGACCCTTTTTGAAGGCAACTTCAGTGCTGAGCGTGGAGGATTGTGTACGTTGACGAAGTTGGGGGTTATGCAGGTGGTAGGGTCTCCCAAGCCAGATTGGCATTGACAGAGTCACCAGACAAAGTGTGTCCAACTATGGTAGGGCAGGGTGTGGCTCTGTAGGTGTAGTGAAGCCAGCCTCCCTGGGGGAGTAAATCCCAAAATCCAATCCTGGCCCTCCTTAAAAGGGGTTGAGCATGGGGCTAACGACCGCACCTCATAAAAAAGTCGGCGTTCAGAAACGCAAAGATGAAAGACGGAAGCCAGTGCCAGACTTAAGGGGTTGTAGCGCTACAGGAAGGAAAGAAAGTAAACAAGACACAGAATGAAAGTTACTGGCACTCTAATTGTGTTTGCCTTTGGTGGAAGTACTTTTTGGAACCCCTGTTTAATGTCTTGTGACCATATTTTTATTTTTTGTTGAATTTTCAAAATGTCATCGCATAATTTCCCTTTGAGTTACATTGCTGGTGTTGGAAATACAACAAATCACCAGGAGCCACACCCGGAGAGTTTGGGGGTGTCATGTCACGGTTGTGTTGTTCTTGGCCACATATAGCGAAGAGAGAATGGCGAGAGGAAGGAATATTGTCATCATGCAGTGATTTATCGACAGTGCCATTTTCCTGGCTGTTCGAGCCTTGCGACCTATAAAATACTGTAGGACGTCTTTCTATAAATGCTGGTTAACAAGTTGACTCTTTGGGACAAATCCATGGCAAATGATCATCTTGATATAAAAGAAATGTTGTCAACTTGACATTCAAGCGAACCTGCCTAGCTTTTATTGGATACAGAGATGAAGGAGTTTTTGTACCGAGAGTATTACTGCTGTGTCTGTTAGATCATACCTGCAAACCAGCATCTCATCCTCTGCGACGAGCTTCAAACAGAAGCAAACACTAGCTTTCAAATCTGTTATCCTAGTAAAAGAACATAAATTATAAATGAGACTCAACGGTCTCACTTGAACATATGTAAAATCATACTGAGGATCGGCAAGAATGATGCTAATATTCTCGCAGAAGTATATACTGTCAGGAAAACACCGCACTGTCATTCCTGTTGCGACGTTACAGGGAGTCGAGGAACTTTTGGATAGCACATTGTATGTATACCTCAGCCTGGACAATGCTGAACATAATAGCTTGATAACATTTGGGTTTACGATCATGTGCAGACCAGCTCTGGTACCTAGTAGGTCTCTTCTCGGGGGGGTAAGTTGTTAAGAGTGCGAAGCTGAGCGCTCACCTCCATCTAGTGCACTTATTAAAAGTCATCCACCACACGTTCATGGTATAATCCTAATATTAAGGACAACTTTTCCTTTCTGTCGCTAGGTGAGTGGATACCTGAACTTAATGGCGAACTCATTTGACAATTTCACTCATGGTCTGGCTGTTGGAGGCGGCTTTCTAGTATCATTCCCGCACGGTGTCCTGACAACGCTTGCCATCCTCTTCCATGAAATACCGCATGAAGTTGGGGACTTTGCGATTCTCCTGAAATCAGGATTTTCACGATGGGATGCAGCACTAGCCCAGATTGCTACAGCGTCAGCAGGGATTGTTGGTGCTGTCACCGCTGTCGCCCTCAGTGGTGCAACCTCTAACGTTGGTAAGATATGCTATGAACGCGAAGACAATGTTTTTCTGGCCTCTGATTTCCAGCAACATGTTTATTATGTTGTAATGAAGTTTTCCCAGGCAGTCACCTCTGTTAATATGTATAAGTTTGGTGTTTCAGTGACTGTCTATACATCCATCATCAGGGACTGATGTGACGCAGCTGTTCGTTGCATACCGACGTACTTGGGGTCCTTGTCAGGACAGTAAACAAACAGTGGAACTCGCATTATGTCAATCTCGATGATGGAAGCAATGTACAGTCTCTGAAACATTGGAAACTGATCCCATAAATACATCCATGGATGATTGCTCAAGAAGACATTATTACAGATTACGCAGTAATTTTATAAAATCAGTGTAACAGACACAATGAGCCGGGATGGCTCAGTCAGTATAGTGACTAGCTACGGGCTGGACGACCGGGGTTCGATCCCCGACGAGGG